CGGCCGAGGTTTCCATTTCAATTGGGACCCGCAGCACCTATCATCATAACTACAATGTGGGAAAATCAACGAGGGATTCTTACACTACAACACAAAATTTGATTTGAATATTCTGGGGGGAAAGATATAGGAGCTTATAATATTTCATCTTGTACCAGGGTTTTCATTGATCTTTCAACTTTTTAAAGGAAACTGACAAGTCTCTCCAAGGAAAATCTTATACTAATCAAAGAAGCTTTAAAATATATAATTTTGTAACTAATTTTTTAGTATTAGTATAAAATTTATTCATGTTTTTGTTTTAACTATTTCATAAAGTTTTCAATAATGTTTTACATAATAATTAAAAGCCAATGGAAAATGTCTAATCTCTATTAGGAAAATCTTTCACTAATCAAAGAAGCTATAAAATATATAATTTTGTAACTAATTTGTTACTATTTAGTATGGAATTTATTCATGTTTTTGTTTCAGCTATTTTATAAAGTTTTTAAATAGTATTTTAAGGAATAATTTAGACAAATTTTTCAATTAGTTTTCCCGTCTAGTGTAACAAGAATGGTAATGCTTGGTTGGGGCGGGCGGAAAACAAAAAAAACAAACGGGAGTTGCACTTTTTCTCCGCTCATAGCGTGTGGATTTTCCGGTTTTCCCGGCAACTTGCAACTTCGTCTTCCCCTTCCGCCTTCCGTCTTACATCGTCGTCGTTTTGCTGCCAACTACGTAACTGAGTTATGTACGAACGTATGTGTTTTGGCGAGTGTATACGGGTATTTCCACGGGTGTGCATTTGAATTGCGCAAGCGCAACTATTGCAAATTGCATACCGCGTTGCTGTTGCAGTTGCTGTTGCAGTTGCTGTTGCTGCTGCTGCATGCCAACATGCAACAAAACCAGACACGCGGGCAACGTGCTGACTAGACGCTGACAGCAGCAATATCACAACAGCAAATTGCCATTAGGGATGAAAAACTAGATAATATATATCGAAGACATATCGTTAGGTATCGAAGAGCGATATATATTTTGAAATGTGACAGCAATCATAAAAATAGGGATAACTTTTAGGAGAAGCTTTCCATATAATACATAGATCCTATGAAAGGTATACCTAGAAAACTATCACATAATATATCAAAATTATATCTCAATTGATATTTTAATAAAAGATACACTATTAAAATAAATATCGATTTTCTTGACCGATATTGTACAAATATATCTATATATCTATCATTCCTAGTTACCACGAACAAGTGCCAAAGCCACAGAGTAGAAGAAAGCCCCAACAATGGAATGGCTAGGAGCGGCATTGAAAGTAAATTGCACACTCGACCAGCAGCAAAGCCAGCAAAATAGATGCCAACTTGCCAGTCGCAAGTCCAAAGTTGAAGCCACAAATGCTGTTAAAGCCCAACTGGTTCTCACCTCCCCGGAACGAAGTGTCTTCTGCCGGCTACGTCTCAGATATGTGTTGTGTTAAAAAAGTTGCAAGTCATTGTTTACTAGTGTTCAAAGTTAGTTACTGATCATACTTACTTACTGGTTATAGATACTTAGTGATCTTAGTTAATTACTAGTCATATATATTTACTGATCAGAGTTACTTACTGCTCATAGTTACTTAATGTTCATTGATACTTACTCGTCATAGATACCTACTGCCCATAGTTAATTGCTGATCATAGTTATTTATTATCTGAAAATGTTCCTATCGTTCCTATAGCAGCTATATATATGTATTTATAGTCCACCGATTCCCCATGATCCGATTTATATACTAGTAAAATTATATAGAAGAATAATTCCATAGTTTCAGTCGAATAGCTTGATGTTTGTTCCAAAACAAATCTCGCACATCTGTGCATATGATTCCCAACTGGTTCTCACCTCCCCGGAACGAAGTGCCTGCTGCCGGCCACGTCTCAGATATGTGTTGTGTTACAAAAGTTGCAAGTCATTGTTTACTAGTGTTCAAAGTTAGTAACTGATCATACATACTTACTAGTCATAGATACTTATTGATCATAGTTACTTACTAGTCATAGATAATTACTGATCAGAGTTACTTACTACCCATAGTTACTTAATGTTCATTGATACTTACTGCCCATAGTTAATTGCTGATCATAGTTATTTATTTTCTTAAAATTTTCCTATCGTTCCTATAGCAGCTATATATATGTATTTATAGTCCACCGATTCCCCATGATCCGATTTATATACTAGTAAAATTATATAGAAGAATAATTCCATAGTTTCAGTCGAATAGCTTGATGTTTGTTCCAAAACAAATCTCGCACATCTGTGCATATGATTCCCAACTGGTTCTCACCTCCCCGGAACGAAGTGCCTGCTGCCGGCCACGTCTCAGATATGTGTTGTGTTACAAAAGTTGCAAGTCATTGTTTACTAGTGTTCAAAGTTAGTAACTGATCATACATACTTACTAGTCATAGATACTTATTGATCATAGTTACTTACTAGTCATAGATAATTACTGATCAGAGTTACTTACTACCCATAGTTACTTAATGTTCATTGATACTTACTGCCCATAGTTAATTGCTGATCATAGTTATTATTTTCTTAAAATTTTCCTATCGTTCCTATAGCAGCTATATATATGTATTTATAGTCACCGATTCCCCATGATCCGATTTATACACTAGTAAAATTATATAGAAGAATAACTCCATAGTTTCATTGAAATAGCTTGATCTTTGTTCCAAAACAAATCTCGCACATCTGTGCTTATGATCCCAACTTGTTCTCACCTCCCCGGAACGAAGTGCCTGCTGCCGGCCACGTCTTAGATATGTGTTGTGTTACAAAAGTTGCAAGTCATTGTTTACTAGTGTTCAAAGTAGTAACTGATCATACATACTTACTAGTCATAGATACTTATTGATCATAGTTACTTACTAGTCATAATAATTACTGATCAGAGTTACTACTACCCATAGTTACTTAATGTTCATTGATACTTACTGCCCATAGTTAATTGCTGATCATAGTTATTTATTTTCTTAAAATTTTCCTATCGTTCCTATAGCAGCTATATATATGTATATAAGTCCACCGATTCCCCATGTCCGATTTATTTACTAGTAAAATTATATAGAAGAGTAATTCCATAGTTTCAGTCGAATAGCTTAATCTTGTTCCAAAACAAATCTTGCACATCTGTGCTTATGATTCCCAACTGGTCTCACCGCCCCGGAACGAAGTGCCTGCTGCCGGCCACGTCTTAGATATGTGTTGTGTTACAAAAGTTGCAAGTCATTGTTACTAGTGTTCAAAGTTAGTAAACTGACATACATACTTACTAGTCATAGATACTTATTGATCATAGTTACTTACTAGTCATAGATAATTACTGATCAGAGTTACTTACTACCCATAGTTACTTAATGTTCATTGATACTTACTGCCCATAGTTAATTGCTGATCATAGTTATTTATTTTCTTAAAATTTCCTATCGTTCCTATAGCAGCTATATATATGTAATATAGTCCACCGATTCCCCATGTCGATTTATTTACTAGTAAATTATATAGAAGAGTAATTCCATAGTTTCAGTCGAATAGCTTAATCTTGTCCAAAACAAATCTTGCACATCTGTGCTTATGATTCCCAACTGGTTCTCACCGCCCCGGAACGAAGTGCCTGCTGCCGGCCACGTCTTAGATATGTGTTGTGTTAAAAAAGTTGCAAGTCATTGTTACTAGTGTTCAAAGTTTGAAACTGATCATACATACATATTACTAGTCATAGATACTTAGTGATCAAGTTAATTACTAGTCATATATATTTACTGATCAGAGTTACTTACTACTCATAGTTACTTAATGTTCATTGATACTTACTGGTCATAGATACTTACTGCCCATAGTTAATTGCTGATCATAGTTATTTATTTTCTGAAAATGTTCCTATCGTCCTATAGCAGCTATATATATTATATATAGTCCACCGATTCCCCATGATCCGATTTATTACTAGTAAAATTATATAGAAGAATAACTCCATATTTCATTGAAATAGCTTGATCTTTGTTCCAAAACAAATCTCGTACATCTGAGCTTATGATTCCCAACTGGTTCTCACCTCCCCGGAACGAAGTGCCTGCTGCTGGCCAAGTCTCAGATATGTGTTGTGTTACAAAAGTTGCAAGTCATTGTTTACCAGTGTTCAAAGTTAGTAACTGATCATACATACTTACTAGTCACAGATACTTAGTGATCATTGCTATTTACTGCTCCTAGTTAGTTACTGATCATAGTTACTTAATGTTCATTGATATAAGTGATCATAATTACATACTGGTCATAGATACTTGCTGTTCAGAGTTACTGAGTAATAGTTGCTGCGTAAAAATTGTGAAAAATTGACAACATTTGAGTTTCATTATAATTTTTTCATTTTAATCTGAGTATGCAGATTTATTAACCTAATAAATTCTGGCATAGAACAATTGTCCGAAGTCAAATTTGTAATTTTTTAAATGTTAAATCCAATACAGAAAAGTCTTCTCGAAGTTAGCTTCCATTGTTGTTTTTGTTTTAAATACTGGAATTACTTGTTTCTCTGCCCTCTCACCCTCTGCTCTCTTATATATTATGCTTATTATTTATGCAGTGTGTTGAGCATAGTTTGCAGTTGTTTTTCCCAGTGTAGCAGAACTCGTTTCTGCCCCCTATGAAGCCCGACTTCAGATCCAATCAGAGTGAGCTTGTGGCCTGGCGTGGGTTCCAGTTTGGCTTGGAACACCTGCACCTGCAGGCTGCACTTGACTTGATCTACGATCTCCCCAGCTAAAGATCTACCAGCTCCAAGAACAGTTAGCTTAAACGGGTTATGGCTAAGACAGACCCTTAAAAGGAGGCCTAAAAACTGACGTCAACACGTGCCAGAGAGGAGGAGTAGTCGTGGGCGCTTCGCTTCCGTCTCTTGACCATATCGGCATTTGGCTAATTGCTTCTGTTTCCCCCCACAGATGGTTCACTACGTCTCCGCCTCGGCATTGACTTCGCAGAAGAGCCTGGCCCTCCAGTCCCACCAGCAGCTGAGCTTTGGCAACTCCTGCGGGCGGCGGGCAACATGGGCGATATACGTGACTGTCCGGTAAGTGGATACATATACCTCTTCCTTCTTCAGCAGATCCTAATGAGTTTCCCCTTATATATCCCAAAACAGAATACATGTGGAGCCAAAATTGGCATCTGTCGGCTCTGCTCAATCGTCCCGATGTGGTATCCATTGGCATTGTTTGGGACTCGGAACGTCCTGCCGCGGATCAGGTTCATGCCGTGCTCAAGGCCGTGGGCACCAGTCTCCGTCTGGGTGATGTCTTCCATCAGGTCAGCGAGCAGAGATGGCACAACAGACGCAGCACGAGCTGGTGGGGATTGTATCCTACTACGGCAAGCACTACACCACCTTTTTCTTCCACACCAAGCTCAAGGTGTGGGTGTACTTTGACGATGCCAATGTCAAGGAGGTGGGTCCAGCTGGGAGGGTTGGTGGACAAGTGCAGTCGAGGACGCTATCAGCCGCTGCTCCTGCTCTATGCCGTGCCCCAGCAGCCTTCGTCGTCATCGATCACCGGAGGAGGTCTGGAGGGAATGCCTGCCACCACATTACCCACACCAGTGGCTCCCACCAGTGCCTCTGTGGTGCGTCGGGCGGTGACTCCCAGTCCGGAGAAGCCCTGTTTGGGCAACACGAGGCGTGCCATCACGCCAACGCCACTGCGAACGCCGGCCACTAATGATTACCAGAACCTGAGTGTCATTCAGAAGAACATCTTCCCCGGATCCGATGAGACGGATGCCTACATCAGTCGCAAAACCGTGGAGCATGTCCTGAGTGCGCAGTACCAGAACCTGAGCGTGATTCAGGACAAGATCGGGACACAGGGACAGATGGCAGTAGGAGGACAAGGACCAGGATCAGGATCAGGACAGGCAGTACAGTCCGGAGCCCTGGACAAGGATGGCGGCTTCCTCAGTCGCAAACCCATCGAGGCGGTGCTCAGTGCCCAGCTGGCACGTCGCCAGCATCTTCAGCTGCAGCGTAGCCACAGTGCCGAGTCGAGTTCTGGCCATGGCAGCCATGGTTCCTCCTCCACACCTCCTCCAATGGCAGCTCACCGCCCAGCGATGGCCTCACCATGCCCGAGCATCTCAATCAGCCGCGGCGCAGGGATTCAGGCAACTGGTCCGGGGATAGGAACAGTGCCAGCTCCGCCAGCTCCACGACCCTGGATAATCCCTACCTGTATATGGTGGCCAAGCGAGGTGGTGTGGCTGCCGTACCGCAGAGTCCAACACGTCATGGATTGCCCTATGATCCAGGCTATGATTCCTTCTCGCTAAGCTCCACGGACTCGTATCCACCGAAGCATACGCTAAGGGATCCTCAGCTGGCCAAGATACCAGAGGCAGCCATGGGTATGCCGGCACATGCAGGACATCCAGGCCTTGGAGGACTTGCCGCACACAATGGACACGGACTGGCCTTGTCCGGGGACTGCGAGAAGCTGTGTCACGAGGCCGATCAGCTGCTGGAGAAGTCGCGGCTGGTGGAGGAGTCTCACGATCTGGAAACCGCTTTGGTTCTTTGCAATGCCGCCGCCGGACGGGCACGGGCTGCCATGGATGCACCATACAGTAATCCGCACACCATGACCTTTGCCCGAATGAAGCACAACACGTGCGTGATGCGAGCCAGGAGCCTGCATCGTCGCATCCTGGTGGAGAAGGGTGCCGAAACGGAGGCCATGCCAGAGCTGAAGCATATGCGGGAGGGCAGTACCAGTAGCGTGAAGCATGTGCGCCAGAACAGCAAGGATCGCACGCTGGACAAGGAGCAGGTGCAGCAGCAGCAGCAGCAACAGCAGCAGCAGCAGCAGCAGCATCTGCAGCAGCAGCAGCAGCAGCAACAATTCCAGCAGCTGCAGCAGCAAATCCCCGCCAGCATCGAGATCTATGCCACGCTGCCCAAGCGGAAGAGTCCGCTCAAGGCTCTGGCCGCCGCCTCCGCATGCGATGACAATGCCATTGAGTACGAGCAGGAGCGGGAGAAGGTCAGCGAGAAGGACAAGGAGAAGCAGGGAACACCCGGCAAGCCAGAGCGCGAGAGTCGCTCATTGTTTGGACGCCGGGACAAGGACAAGGACAAGGACAAGGAGAAGGAGAAGCGAAGCCGGAGCGAGGATCGCAACAAGCTCACCCGTGAGTTCTCGCTCACCGAAACACTGCTGGTCAATGCCAAGGACACGCTGAAGAAGCACAAGGAGGACAAGGACGAGAAGAAGGAGAAGGACAAGAGCGGCAAGAAGCAGCACAAGATCCGGCGCAAGCTTCTAATGGGTGGCCTCATACGCCGCAAGAATCGCTCCATGCCGGACCTCACCGAGGCGGATCTCACCGAGGCCACGCACCATCCCCACGCACATTCCCATCATCATCCGCATTATCCGGCCATGGCCACCGCCGGCTCGCAGCTCCTCCTGGGCAGCTCCGTGGACGACAGCGCCGTGGGTCTGGGCAAGCACAGCCATGGCCTGGCCCATTCGGCCGCCATGAGTGGCTACATCTCCGAGGGACACTTTGACTATCCACGGGAGGTAATGGCGGAGGAGCTGCTGGCCAGGCGGGAGCCGGTGCGAATCCGAATCCCAATCTGGAGCGCAGCAAGCTGATGCGCAAGAGCTTCCATGGAAGCGGCCGTCAGCTGACCATGGTGCCCAAGGTGGCTCCGCCGCCGCCCATGCGCACCAGCTCCACGCTGACCCCCCAGCAGCAGCAGCAGCAGCAGCAGCAGCAGCAGCAGCAGCAGCAGTTCCACCACGAGGCCAACCTCTCCAACCTGTCCGCCATGAGCTCCAACACTTCCATTAGCGAGGATTCCTGCCAGACGATCATCACCACCTGTGCCCAGGTCCATTCCGAGCAGAGTCCCCTCAAGGATCAGCTGCAGATGCTGGGCCAGGACCTGCCCCTGCCACCGCCAATGGAACTGCCCCCATATCCCAGTCCGCCGCACTCTGCCTGCCATTCGCGGCAGGCTAGCGAGGATTTCCCGCCGCCACCGCCACCAGAACTGGATTTGGAGCCACTCAACCAGCAGCTTTGCCAGCTGCAGGCATTGGAGGCGGCCAGCAAGCAGCAGCGTCAGCAGTTGGACTCCCTGGAGGGCACCACCAGCATCCTGGCCCAGCTGCAGCAGCGCCAGCATCTGCTCAAGCTGCGCAAGGAGCAGCAACAGCAGCAGCCGAACGGTGGCCATCCCGCGGATGCCACCTGGCTGAAGGAGCTGCAGGCGAAGCAGGCCAGCGATCTGAGGGCCATGCAGCGCAAACTGGAGGCCTCCTCGCCGTCCAGTGTCCGGGATCTGGCGCATCGATTCGAGCAGACGCAGATCCGGTCGTATGCCTCCCAGGAGTTGCTCTCACAGCCGGCGGCCCAGCTGCGCACGCAGATGAATGGCCTGCCCAGCGCCAAGCTGGATGTGGATGAAGTAGACTCGAGGCCCATCCTAGGACTCCACCAGCAACACCAGCAACAGCAGCAGCAACAGCAGCAGCAGCAGCAGTTGGTGTTGCCCAAGCCCAAGTATGAGATGAGCCAGTCGCAGATCGCAGAGGAGATCCGCGAAGTGGAGCTGCTCAACACGATGGTGCAGCAGAGTCTCCAGCAGAATCAGCCACCCAAGCGGGTCAAGAAGAAGAGTGTGTCCTTTTGCGACCAGGTGATCCTCGTGGCCACCGCCGGCAATGAGGAGGACGATGACTTCATACCGAATCCCATCTTGGAGCGGGTCCTACGCACCGCCCAGCATCCCAACGAGAAAGTGAGCGGCGTCACAGCCCAAATGATCCAGCAGCAGCAGCAGAACATGCTTCGGCTGCAGACAGAGGCACAACCCAGACAGCAGCAGCAGTTGCAGCAGCCACAGTTGCAGCAGCAACCATCACCCATGCTGGGCAGGCCAGCAGCTGCAGCTCCACCCAATGCGGATATGCAGCGCTATGTCCAGAGGATACAGCACCACCAGGAGTTGATTCGCCAGCAGCAGCAACAGAAGCAACAGCAGCAGCAGCAGCAGCAGCAACATCAGATGCAGCAGCAACAGCAGATGCAGCAGCAACATCGCACCAGCATGAACGGCCTGGCCAGCCAGCAGGTGCAGCACCTACAGCAGCAGCAGCCAATGGATAGCCAGTACACCAGCATGCCCAGACCCCTGCACCACAACCAGATGCTGGCCCAGAGCTACTCCGTGCAGCTGCAGAAGCACCAGCAACTCCAGCAGCAGCAGCAGCAGCAGCAGCAACAGCAGCAGTCGCCCCAACTGAGCCTGGGCTACTTTAGCAACGGCTCTGTGGCAATCTCGGAGCAAGTGCCCCTGCCCTCACCCTACCAGCGTGTGCCACTGCCCCATGGCTACCCGGCAGCAGCTGGCGGTCCAGGACTTGCTCCAGGACCTGCTACCGGTGCCGGCCCAGCAACCGGACCCTATTTCCCACTGCCCAATGTCCAACAGCACCAGCAGCAGCAGCAGCAGCAACTCCTACAGCAGCAACAACTGTTGGCAGGGAAACCGGCCGCCAAGAAGGTGAGCTTTGAGCCAGGGACCAAGGGCGAAGCCGACTGCCTGCCACCGCCACCGCCCCCGCCTCAGACCAAACTAGCCCTGCAGAATGGTCTGCCCGAGGCAGCAGCAGGAGCAGCAGCAGCAGCATCATCGCTTAATGGTGTTGCTCCAGCTCCAGGATCAGCGCCAGCATCCATCACTGCCATACCCACCCGCGTCTACAACAATGCCATTGTGAAGGCCTCGGCCAAGGCCGTCGAGTGCAATCTGTGCCGGAAGCGGCATGTGATTGCGCCGGCGGTGTACTGCACCAACTGCGAGTACTACCTGCAGATGCTCAATCAGCGCAGGTGATGATCAGGATCAGGATCAGGATCAGGATCACGATCTGCAGATGCCTCGATCTAGTGCAACTTTCTAGCCGTACATGGAACCCGTTAATCTCAAGCAACGCAATGCTGCCACAAGGATGTACATAGCCAGGATAACTTAGCCCGTAAGCCCGTAAGGAGGAGCAAAAGGAGCAACAGCTGCCGCCAGGATAATTGGATTGCGAGAG